CATATATAGAGACCCGTAGACTTAAGTTTACACCTCTTGTTTTTTCGCATGGCGGCGTATGTGATCAGCAACGTCTGTATGTTCACATCGAGGTTGGCGAGTGAGCCAGCGGGTGACAATGTGGGTGAGCCAGTCGGTGAGCCAATGGGTGAGTCAGCCGGTGAGCCAGCGGGTGAGCCAATGGCTGAGCCAGCGGGTGACAATGTGGGTGAGTCAGCCGGTGAGCCAGCAGGTGAGCCAATGGGTGAGCCAGCGGGTGAGCCAGCGGGTGAGCAAACTGGTGAGCCAATGGCTGAGCCAGCGGGTGACAATGTGGGTGAGTCAGCCGGTGAGCCAGCGGGTGAGCCAATGGGTGAGTCAGCCGGTGAGCCAGGGGGTGAGCCAGCGGGTGAACCAGCGCGTGAGCCAGCCGGTGAGCCAGCGGGTGAGCAAACTGGTGAGCCAGCGCATGAGCCAGCGTGTGAGCCAATGGGTGAGCCAGCGGGTGAGCCAGCGCATGAGCCAGCGTGTGATCGAATGCGCGATCCAGTGGATGGCTTCAGGAGTAGACTCTCTGAAACGCCATAGGCCTGCCGAACTTCACGATTGGTCCAGCGCCGATCGAGGCCGCACAGGGCGCACCTACCTACCCCTCCCACCTACCCCCTCACCTCCACCCACCTCCACCTACCACCCCCCACCTCCCCGAGAACCGTAATTTTTTTTTTCTCAGTTACGGGCAACTCTAATTAGCTCAGTACGCCCAATAACGGGACGTGTGCCACGCGGCGCTGACGTGTCCAGTCGTGGTGGCGAGGGGTGGCGAGGCGCGGGGGCGGGGGGCGACTTTGAAAGCCGGTTTTGAATGTTCACGCGCGTGCAAGCAACGCCGTTTAGGTTCCAGAGAAACTTTTAACAACATTTTCCGCAACGACAACAAAAGAAATCGACAGATCCTCCCCGGCTACACTTTTAGCTGCCCCTTAAGAAAGCTTGTTCGAGAACAACGCAGAGAGCACGCGTGGGGAGGGGGGGGACTCTCTTTTTTTTCTTTCTCATGAGCGGCTGAAATTGTGCATCGTGAACACAAAGGCCGTATTGATGGCGCGGCGTGTGTGGGTGCGCGTGCGTGTGTGTGTGGGTGCGCACCGTGTGTGCACCGTGTGCGCACCGTGTGCGTGTGTATGTGCACGGAGTGTGTGTGTGCACGCACCGTGTGTGCATATGTGTGTGCACGTGTGTGTGCTCGGCGTGTGTGTGCACGTGTGTGTGTGCACGTACCGTGTGCGCGTGTGTGTGTGCACGTGTGTGTGCGCACGGCGTGTTTGTGTGTGCACGCTGTGTGTGTGTGCACGTGTGTGTGTGTGCACGGCGTGTGTGTGCACGCTGTGTGTGTGTACACGCTGTGTGCGTGTGCACGGCATATGCACCGTATGTGCGTGTGCACACTGAGTGCGCGCCACGCAGGGACTGAAGTTGGTGGGCGAAGCCGAGAGCCCTGGCTCAGCTGATTGATGTTGGGCTGCATCAGCAAGGACTGCAACCGCCGGTCGCTCTGACGTCTAAAAGCCTGGCCAAGTATTTTACTAAAAAAATATTATTTTAAAATCGTCGTTCCCCCCCCCCCCCCACCTCTACCCAGCAAACATGGAAAGTTATCGAGCCGACTTTGGCCCAACGTTTCGAACGACACTCCAAAGTTGGTATGACGTTGGCAAGATGTATATTTTGCTTAACGCTTTCTCGAAACGTCCGGCTTGGGTTTACGTGGTGAGCCGTTCGTCAGCGCCGCGGGACGGAAACCCGGGGTTTACGTCACAGCGACGGCAGAACGAGAGTAGGCTGAGAGATAGAGAGAGAGACACACACACAGAGAGACGCACACAAAGAGAGAGACACAGAGAGAGAGACACAGGGAGACACACACAGGGAGACACACACATAGACACACACACAGAGACACCCACACAGATACACACAACGAGACAGAGAGAGAAACAGAGAGAGAGACGCATACCCATCAAGACCTCGACAGGTCACGGCGTCGTCCCCACGTTTAGACAAAACGGGAGAAGCTTATGGTAAAAAGCGGCGCACCCTTTAGCCCGGCCGCACTCTCAGAGCGACGGATCAAATGGTGCGATTCCAGCAAAAGGCGGGTGCGAATTTGCTTGTCACCACACCAATAACGGGGGGGGGGCGGTGGGGTGGTGGTGGCATCGATGGCTCGCGCTACGCAAAAGGCCATTACAGCGCGGAGGATTGGCAACCTGAGCCGTGGACTCGGAGGGGTCACTGTCTCTCTATGTGTGTGCGTGAGTATATGTGTGTGCGTGTGCGCGTGCGTGTGTGTGTGCGTGTCTGTGTGTGGGTGTGCGTGTGTGTGTGTGAGTGCATGTGTGTGTGTGTGTGTGAGTGCTTGTGAATGTGGGTGTGCGTGTGTATGTGTGTGCGTGTGTGAGTGTATGTGTGTGTGTGAGTGTGCGTGTGTGTGTGTGCAAGTGTGCGTGTGTGTGTGTGCGCGCGAGTGTGGGTGTGCGTGTGTATGTGTGTGTGCGTGTGTGCGTGTGAGTGCATGTGTGTGTGTGTGTGAGTGCTTGTGAGTGTGTGTGTGAGTGTGCGTGTGTGTGTGTGCGCGCGAGTGTCTTTGTTGGCCAACAGCACTTGACCCACAATCCTGCGAAAGGCTATAGGGGGGTCGAGGTGGGGGGTGAGTGCTGGTGGGGGAGCTGCGGGCATGGTGTGGTTGATATAGGCCAAGCCACTTTGTACTTGATTATAATTACAAAGGGTGCACTCGGTGATTATAATGCCGCTAATTATATTACTGCCACTGAGCTTACCCGGGGAACTCAAGACTCGCTGTCACGAGGGTCCTGCTCACAATGGGATTGTTTGCCCGCTCCCGTCGACAGCTGTTCAGCTTCTTGTGGTGGTCGTCCACCGGAACACCCGTGGTAGACCCTCGACCCGTCCTCCATCTCCCGGCCACACGCCCGGCAAGGCCCCCCCCCACGGGGTGGCGGTCGCCCGTCTTAAGTGCGAGAGCAAAAGTGGTGCTTGAGCAGCAGCGCATTTGAATCCTGCCCTCGCGAGCTGGGGGGTGGGCGGGAGGGGGGGGGGGCGAGTGGGTGGGGGGTGGCGAGGGGCTCGCGTTGTGCAGGACGGTGTCACGGCTTAAAAACAAACACAAGACTTGGCGGGCGGTCAAGAATATTAACGGAGCGGCAAAGCGAGGAGTCGACGTCCACCGAGGAGACGGAGCGACGAAAATCGGGTCGCGTGCGGGCGGCCCCGCTGGTGATCCGTCGCATCGCATGGACCGCGAGTGACAAGCGACCAGCTTGGGGGGGAGGGTGGAGGGGGGAGCCCGTCATCATCCAGCAGTGGATAGACCACGGCCGACGACGACGTTGGCAGGAAAGGTTTCAGCCGTGTACGCCGAAGCTCTTTGCCAGCATTCAGATGCCGCCCCCGCCACCACCACCACTCCTCCGGGCGGGGGGCGGTGGGGAGAGAGGGAGGGAGGGGGTGGCCAGCATGAGTGGAGCGCCGCTGGCGCTGTGACTCGGAGCGTTCCGTCCCCAATGCCGCTTACACCGCGCGGAGAGACACGCCGACCGTTGGCGAGAGCGCTTCAACGAAATCCGTTAGCGCGCTCGCTCTCCGGCGTTCCCTCCCGCCGGCCTTCCCCACCGCGGCCCCCCCCCCCCACTCCCGCCAGACCGTTTGTTTACCGCGGTATCTCTCGTCGGCGCAATTTGAGCGGCGAGGCGATGACCGCGACGCCCCGCGCGACGACAGACGCCGGGTGTCTGCGCGCGTGTTGAGGATTTAACGCCGGCGAGGGTGGGGCGGCGGCGGTGGTGGTGGTGAGACAGGGATTTGGCTGGCCCTCGCGAACAGTAACAATCACGCGTAATAATAGCGCGGTGTGGTTCTTTTTGGGGTCGGGGGTGGGTTTAATGGCCCAATTACAGCTCGCGCCGCGTTTTCCCACCGTGCCGTGGAGTCGCGAGCCTCACCCCCACTCCCCCCCCCAACGTGTGAGCGTGCCCGCGTGTGCGAGTGCCGTGCGAGTGCCGTGTGAATGTCGCGTGAGTGCCCGCTTGTTCGTACCCGCGTGTAAGTGGCAAGCGACTGTGAATGTCCCATCGCGTGGCTTTGAACGCGCCGCGGTGTGCTTCCGTTGGAGCGCGCCCGTGAGGCCTTCGGCGCGTTACGTTCGCAACGCTCGTCCGACGAAAGGTTGAAAGCGTTTGTGAATTAGCAAACGTCTGTCCGTCCGTCCGTCCGAGTGTAACGGGGAGGAGAAGGGAGCACGATGACTCTCCTGACGGTGATCCGAAACTTGCGTTGTCTGTCTGTCCGTCTGTCTGCGTGTGTAACGTGGGGTCACGATAACTCCCCTCGAACAATGTCCCGGCATGAATTAAAGTTGAGTGGAGAGATCAAGTTGGCCCAATTGATCAATGGCTTGGCCCACAACTCGAAAACCAGCGCCTGAAAGGCTTGGGATCGCCGACCAAGGCGATGACATCAGCGCACGCCCATCGCATCGTGACATGACTTCACCGCGTGCAATAAAACAAACGCAGTGGCCGTGAAGCGAGAGAGAGAAGAAGAAGCACATAACGGGTGACGTTTTGGCCGTTCTTCACAGCACACAGAAAGGCCAGAGAGGTTGAGGGTGGCGTGAGTTGAACTTCATTCGTGAACGACGGCCGGGTAGGAGGGAGAGAGGGAGGGGGTGGTGAACCGTGGATTGGTACCGCTCCTCGTTGCCTACCGCTGCATCTGGCGTACGCATGATGTCGTCTGGGTAGCAGTCATAACTCAACGTCCGTGTTCGAAATCCGGGCGATGGCTAAACAGGAGTGGCACGCCTCCCGCCGAGACAAAATCCTGTGCCGAGTCTCACGCCCCTACCCATTCCCCCACCCCGTGTGACCCCCTCGTGCCCCCCTCGTGCCCCCCCTCCTCACCCCGTGTGACCCTCGCGTGCCCCCCCCCGCCCCCAGGTGTGCTCGTGCCTGGATGCGACGGTGAGGAGGGACCCGTGCGCGGAGCCGAGGAGGGCGGCTGTGCACGCCGTCACGCTCCTCCTGCGAGGCCTCGGCGCCAGCGCCACAGAGGTGACCTCCGCACCCCGACCCTGACCCCGGCTGTAACCCTAGCCCTGACCCTAACTCTGACCTTGACTCCGACCCTAACCCTAGACCTGACCGTAACTCTAACCCCGACCCCGACCCCGACCCCTACCCCGACACCTACCACAACCCCAACCCCGACCCCCTACCCCGACCCCGACCCATGCGATTGCGCTTACACACACAAAGATTCCCTGAGTAACCTTGAAGAGACTTTTGGGGCAAGTGCTGTTTGCGAGCAGCTATGAAGGCCGGCACGGCACACGTTTGTTTACGCACCGCTTTTAAGGCCGAGTCAACCTAGGAGAGGCCCAGGACCGGTTCAGATAGTCGCCATTGGTGTTGGCTGTGAGCGCGAATCGAGCTTTCTACCCACAATTCTTAGCGCAGTGCGCTAGCAACTGCGCCGCCACTGAGCTTTGCCACTTAACATACAGCAGCTGCCATTCGTCACTAAGTGGCGGTGACGTCACCACAGCACCTGTGCCAGGCCCTATAAACTTTAAGGCCACGTGAAGTGTCGAACGCCCGCTGGCAGGAGGTCACGGGGCAAAACAAGGTGCCATGGGTTCACTGACTGAGATGAGTGGCCGAAGCACCACCTGTGCCCCCTACTGTGCCAATTCGCTGTGTTTTAGCCACCCGGCACTTCGCTCGTTGTGAGCGTCACTCCTCTGCCCTCCGTTGTTGCTGGAGGGCGACTGCCTCTAACTGCCCAGTAGCAGCATCTTTGACGATCTTGACACCGCTGGTACTGGTCATTGGCAAGTCCACTCAGCTCCACATCCTCCTGTACCACATCACTCCAGACACACACGCACACACACAAACATTCATGCATCCAGCACATGCGCACTCACAAGTGATACTTGACCCCGTGACCTCCTGCCAGCGAGCCTTGACACACACCTCGCGCAGACTCGGAGCGCACCTAGCCTGGCGCGACCGCTGCGAGGACATCGGCAGCAACTTGGTCGCGTGCCGCGTCGGTAAACCCCTCGCCAGGGTTTCCCAAGCTCCAATGGCGTGCGCGTGCCCGTGTCCCCTGCACCGCATGTCCCACGTGACGCGGACGGAGCGAACCGCCTCGGCGCGTCAAGCGAGGCCCGTTTGAACGATCGCTGGGCGCGCTCTGCGCTTAACGAGTTAATTTGCATTCGTAGCGGGAGGAGCGAATTGGTAGAAGCGGAACGGCGGAGCGTGGTGCGGTGGGGTCAACGCAGCCTGAACTCTCCATCCACGCTGCTGCGGGTGATTCGCCGAATGCATTCGGCGTCGTCGCCGCGCCCGGCGTCGGGGCCCGGCGTCGACCGCGGGGCCGGGGGGGGGGGGGTCGCGCCGTCCCATGCCGCCCGGCGCAAGGGCCGGGCCGGCACATTGAAGCGATTAAACGACGCCGCGTCGTTCGCCCTCTCTTGACGCCGTTGACGGAAGGGCGGTGTGGGTCTGCGAGACCGAACGCAGGCGGTGAGGGTCGGCGGGGAGTTGGCGGGGGGCAGCGTTCACGCCCGCCCGGCGCTCCCCGCTACGTGCGTGCGACGTCACGACTTGCGCACTTCCCCCCCTCCACCCCCCCCCCCCCCGCGGCGCACTCGCCGCACGGCCCGGTGCCGTCGGCGAACCCTGCCCGGCGGGGGCCCCACTCGTCCGCGCGCACATGGAGCTGCTTAGCGCCGCCAATTTTCCTGTTAACCCTCTTCACCCACAATTCCCCGAATGCCGCGATGAAATGAAAATATGACAGGGCTGGTGGCGGTGGCGCTGCAAAATTTCCCCCTCCCCCTCCGTTGGCACTTTACGGTTTTTCCTGGCTCGTCGGCGCTGCCGGCGCTCGCGCGCCCCGTCTCTGTAAAGCCGTCCTCCGGCACAGAAGCCCCGTGACCTTTGAACTCGAAGAAAGTGATCTTGCAAGTGTGGACGTTTCAAATAATATTTTACTTTTGGGGGTTTTACACCACCCCCCCTCCTCCTACAATTAAATTTTGTGTCATTGGACGAAGAATCGTGCGTCAGAGAAGGTCCCGCGGAAGCGGACGTCACAGAGCTGCTTCTGAAGTGCCTTCGATGCTCTCCCTTCTGCCGCTGTTTAGAGATGCCGGTCGAACGGTAGCAAAATAAATTTCGCGTGTTAATTTTTTATTCTGGCAAAGCTGTCGGGTTAATTAAAAATGTAACATTTAATACGATAGGGTGTCGTTTTTTATTGCAGTCATTGGTGATCCCCCCCCGCTCCCCGTCGCCTGCCCCGCCGGCTTAGTAACGGATTGCATGGCTGAAACCCAGATTTAAAATGGGTGATCTTAAGCGATGCCAGCTAACTTGCTCTGACCTCTAAGCAAGCGTAATTCATTGCATCTCACCACGCTTGATGCAAAAGCGGTTGCGACTGCGACCAGTGAATCCTTCGGTGGCCTTGCCGTCACGGGGGGGGGGCAACGTTCAAAACTCCACACAAATGGATTTAAGAATCCATTGCTGCACCTATAACCTCCTGCCCCAACGACGCCTGCTGTTCCCAGGCGGTCTTTCGTGGTGGTGCAAACCGGGCTAAGCCTTGCTCGGGGCCTCTGAACTCACACCCCATCTGAACGTGCAGATGGGGTGTGAGTCTCAAAGGAGTTCCGGGGTTCTGCTTTGTTATTAGTTTCTGTTGGGTTCGATGGCGTGGGGTTATGTCATTTGTTGACTTGGAACCCCCCACCACCTGCCGGAGCCAATCAACCTTATTACGGTAATCTACCCTTCACCAATCACAAGCAATCGACTCCACGATTGTTAAACCGGATCACGTGCACGCTGTCCTGATGGCGTCATGCCACCTACCGAAGGACTCGGAATGAGGACGCCGTGTCGCAGGAGAGCCTCATTGATGCTGGTTGTTGCAACCTCCAGTGAAACGTCGTTCTAATATTGTCAACATGTTCGTGGCTTTTTCACCGTTCTTCTGTCGTCGGCTGGCGCGGGGCTACAGTAACAATTTGTAAAAAATATATAATATTTTACGCGTGTGACGATTTAAACCCCCAAAAGAGAAGTCACCAGTCGTAGAGTTCCGTCGATTTGTTCCGTCATGTCCGCTCATGCCCCCCCCCCAACATGCCCCCCCCCAACATGCCCCCCCCAACATGCCCCCCAACGCGATTGAGAAGCTCGCCAACTCGCGACCCCGAGCAGCAGGTGGCCGTGCTTCTGCGAGCAGGGGCCATGAGAGGCCACTTTGGGAAGTGAGAGAGATCGGCGTTTCTGACCCCACGTGCCCTCTCGCCTGAGCGAGGCTTTGACCTCACGAAACCTGAAACACGTTCTTAGTTCGCAGCCTGGGGAGGTGGGGGGGGGGCGCCGACAGAAGGGGTTGCGCCACGCCGTTCGTGCCCGGGGGCCTCGCGGGGGCCTTCAGGGGCCCTCCTGGGCCCTCCTGGGCTCCCCGCACTGCTGTGGAGCGTTTAACTCGCCACCCCCCCCCCCACCCCCCGCGTGAGCACGCACACCCCGGCTCAACCCGCGCCTCGTTTCCGTTGGAGGATGTTCGATCGCGATGACCTAGGAGACGCGGTCATCGCGATCGAACGTTGCGTCCGGTTTTCGCGAAATATGTGCGTGTTATGAATCGTGTTCATCGTTATTATTTTTAGTATTGTTTAAAAATGTTAAGGCAGCTGATTTGGCTTTAGCCGCATTGCTCCGCCCGGGAAGTACTCTTCTCAGTCTAGTCCACCTGTCCCTCCGAGGACACTTCACATGTGTTAAAGAAAAACTACGAAACCTCTAAACCAATCGTTACAACAACGACCGTTTATTAGAATGCTCCTGAAACACAAATAATCCGGAACTCGACGCTCACGGATAGCGGTGCCCGGATCTTCGGTTTTTATCGGTTTGAAAAGATTGGCAAGTATTAACTCTTTGATAAAAAAAAAACTCCTTTTCCCTACAAGTTCTCGTGAAGCCGCGTTTACCAGCGCGAGAGAGCAGTCGTGCAAAGCTTTAATTATTATTGCTGCCAGTACAGGTCGAGAGCGAGAAGAGGCGCGGGGGGGCCAGGCAAGTTGAGCTATCGTTTGTGGTGGCCAGGTCGCTTCTGAAAGGAGAGCTATGTAGCTCAGTGGCCCTTACCTGGTAAGGTAAAAAAGATGTTGTAGTTTTATCGGTGTCTCGCCCAGTGCCGGATTAAGCTAGTGCGGGGCCTGTAGCATATGTTATAAAGGGGGCCTAAATTACCAAAAAAAACACTTAAATATGAAAAGACAAATGTTGAACATGCATAGTAAAGTAATTGTCTTTTTTCATTTACATCCAGATCATACGACAAATCGCCAACCTTAAACACCCAGTCGTTGTTCATAAAAGTTGAAGGCAGTATAGTGCTATAGTAATAGAGCAAGTGCAGAATCACTGAACCGGAATTGAAAGCTTGAAAGCATTTAGGGCGGAGCCCTTGAAAGTGCGGGGCCCGTAGCATTTGTAGCTACTTTTGCGACGAGGATAATGCGGCACTGGTCTCGCCACTCAGAGCTGCGGCGAGGGATGCTCGTTTCCATCGGTGGCCCCAGAGCCAGTCGTGAAATTTCCACGTTCTTATGGCCTCTGTTCAGGTTGTACACTGAACGACAATCAAGTGACCACCGCTCGTTTTGTCGTTTTGGCCGGAACGAAAGACACGCTCGGTTAACCAAGCAGCCTTTCCGATTGCGAGTCGGGCAGTCTGACCACAGCGCCGCCCAGGAGGATCGCCGCGATAATTATCGCTCGACGATAATTATTTTCACCCTTTTGCTCGTTCTGCGATTTTTCCTGTCAAAAGGCCGCTCTGTCTTTTTTTTTATATATATAAAATCCATTTCTCGTAAATCCCATTAACAACATCCGCGGGAGGACGATTACACGAAGGGCACGAGTCACGGAGCGCTGATGGAGAACAGACGAGTTGCAGGAAGTGACCGCGAGAGACAGAGCGAGAGAGTGTGAGCTCAAAGCAATAGCTTTAA